GGGGGCACTGTTCATTGTTATCGCTATTCTAAATCAAAAATTCTCGCATATCCTCATTCAACCAGAGTGTCATTTCAGTAGATATCCCAAAATGCATAAATAAATAATCTGAAGTGATATCTCGCTTCCCCACTCTCTCAAATTCTTCATATAGTATGTTGAAGTATATACACCTCTAAATAAACAAACATTGTTTATACAAGTTTCTCCGTCATTCCTATTGTTCTACTATGTCTACTATGATATAAACCAAGCCATGCACGCAAATAATAGGGGCCCCTGGCAGGGTAAATAATGTGTAATGCAACATATGGCTTGTTTGTGGTATCATTGGCCTGGTTGGTACACATGTATCCACATGCATAATAGAAAATTTAATGTACGCCATAATATTTACAATGCTTCTCAAAGGTGTGGAGCTACTGTTTACAATATCAATTTTAGATAATTTTATTCATTCACAAAAAGTGTTAAAATTAAAATGTTTTTATAGTTACTCTCATCGGAAATCAGTTGAATCATAAATTCCAATTTAATGCAGCATTGAATGTATTACGGCAAAGAAAAAAAATTGTGAGTGGTTCCTATAACATACCCTGCCGAGCCTAAACCATTTTTGGCCATATTTGAATAAGATTTTTTAGAACTTTGCAAAACTGGGTAATTTTAACAACTTTAATCACTTATTTAAAAAAGAATTAAACTTGTACAGTTGTAACAAAGAAAAAGTATATAGAAAAATCCCCAGCTACCAGTACTCTATTTTTGAAAAGCATGTTGTAGAAATCACAGCATTTTTTTTATTTAGCCATAGATGAATAAGATCTCTGGTAACTCAGAGCTTGAACTTCAGCTTTGAGATGGCTCCCTTTTTCAGCCAAAGTTATGGTCTCAGCATTCATAGGAATATACAGGAAATTTTGAAGGACATTAAGGCAAACTTATTAGACATCATGCCTACGTTGCCTCTATGAAGTTCAACCCCTGAAAATTAATTGTTCTTAGTAGTGGTATGGGTCACCAGAGTATTTACTCAGTATTTACTTAATTTCAAGCTTATATTTTATATAATCTTATTTCTCTTTTATTTGTTTTAAAATGTCACCCCCTGTCAGTTGGCAATGTTTGATTTGTGTTGTCTCATTGTGTTTATTCAATACATCTGTTTTCAATGTAAGCCTACATAATACAAATACTGAAGGTAAAAGTGGTGCTTAGTCATGAAATATCACCCTTTTAGCTAATTTACCTCTTCTGTATTCTTGCTGATTTAAGATGTATTGATTTAGTACAAGGATAGAACAATTGAGGACGTAGAATAACAGCATGCAGGAATTCAAAGTGTACTGTATGATATGATATCAGATCTAAAAACACTCGGTTATCATAATATCATATCAGAAAT